AGCTCTCATATAGAGCTTCTGGCTACTATAACTTGATACAAAGCTCCCATGTAGAGCTTCTGTACCATATAACTTGATACAGAGCTCTTATGCAGAGCTTCTGTATAACCTTCTTTAAAGTGGTTTCTAAACAGAACGCGATACAGCATATTCACCAAATGAAATCTAAACTTTGAATTTGAACTCTAAAACACGAAGTTTGGACGTGGGCCTTCATAGAGTTCTACACAGGGTCAAAGGTACAACTAAACATTGTAACAACATAAATTTTGGTTGAGCATTTACCTCTAAGCGACGGGAAAACAGGGGGTTCTTGCCTGGTCTTGAACTCCGGTTTTTCTCTCTCAAGCTCAACGATTTCCTTCTTCTTTTCAAATGAATGGCGATCCTAAACCAGTGCCCATAATTTATACTCAAACGATTTGGCCTATTAGTTGACCAAATCGGCCGAATCCCGAGTTTTAGGCTGTGAAACTGCTTCTCCACAGCCTGCAACCGGCAGGTCACAGTTTCCCCTTTTGGACCAGGCACCGCCTGTTCCTCTTCTGCCTCTCCCAAACGTTGACAACAGGCCCCTCTGTTGCAGGTCTGTTGCCTATTTACAAAACAGGTCATTCTGGTTTGGACCTGCTTACTCACGACCCAGTCCCTTAACTACCGCGAATTGACAATTTTCACCCATGTCATGACTTCTTCCTTCACTTTTGGTCCGACTTTTATAAACTTATTTCAACCTTCTATTTTTATTTAATATATATATATATATATATTATATTCTTAAGATAAAATAATAATAAAGATAAATTATTTATTCCATAAATTTTTGGGTTTTACAATATATATATATATATAGGAGCGTTCAAATAAAAAATCGATTCCATTTGTGTAAACCGTATAAACCAATCTCATCAATCCATTTTCCTGATCAATGACCAAAATTAGTTTACTTTATTTTAGAAAATTAAAAAAATATTTATTAAAAATTTATTTTATTTCAACGGTAAGGGCATAAATGGTAAACAAAATTTAATATTTGGTAACATCCTACTCGATCTTTCATGAATCTTTTTTCATGCAAATTTATTTTCTTCCAAGATTAGTTTACTTTCATGAATCTTTTTTCATGCAAAATTATTTTCTTCCAAGATTAGTTTACTTTCATGAATCTTTTTTCATGCAAAATTATTTTCTTCCTTTCGCTTGATGCATTAATTCCTTTAAGCCTTGCAATCTTAAAGATTCTAAAACATATTACAATCTTTAAGATTCTGAATCAGTTTCTTCATGTACCCGTTTCATCATGCAATTATTTCATGACGAACCAAATACATTATGCAACTGTTTCACTAGTCATGCTCAATAACGCCATGAACTAGTTTCACTTTCATGAAACCTATTTCATTTACAGTAATTTTCTTATTTCACCACTGATTTGATGGATTTATTCTTTTAAGCCTTACAATCTTCAAGATTCTGGAGCAGGTTACAATCTTCAAGATTCTGTAGCAGATTAAAATCATTTCCTCGTTTCATCATGCATTTAACATGACGCACCAAATACAAAATGCACCGGTTTCATTTTCCTCTTCACCAACTAAATGGATCAACTACACAATCAATGCAACGGGTTCACCATGAAAATGTTTCGGTTCACATAATTTATTTGCAACATGAACCAGTTTCACGTTCATGAAACCTGTTTCATTTCTGGATTTTTTTTGTTCATCTACGATTTGATGATTTCCTTATACATTTCAATTGTTTCATCAAGACCCGTTTGCTAATTATTAAAGATTATAATATATGAAATTCAAAATTTTAATATTATAATATAATTAAATATTTAAATGTTACCATTTATACAATTTTCTTTATTACGTTTCCTTAAATAAGATTTATTAATAACTTCCATATCTAATAGAAAATACTGTAAATGACTGAAATACCCTTATTGGTTAATTTTAATTAAAAATAAATGGAATTTTTCTATTGATCGAAATTGGTTTACACGGTTTTTAGAAATACACAGTTTTCATTTGAACGTGCCATATATATATATATATATATATATATATATATATATATATATATATATATAAATTCTGGTGGTGGGGTTAGAGTTGGGGATGAACTCATTAATTTATAGAATCCAAAAAAATTTGAAGGATTTCATCAACCAAACAAAACAACTATAATTTAGTTTAAGAAATTTATCATTTCAATTTCCAAACGATACATTAAATTTTTTGAGATGCTCTCTTCACCCAAAGTGTTATTTTCTTATTTTAAAATTTTAATACATCTTTTTCAGGAAAATAAAATAAAAATTCAAGCAGCCGACTAAAGTTTTACAAAAGTTTACGATAAACTTTTAATTGGTGTCATTTACGTTAAATTATGCCAAAAATAATGAAAATATGGATCCGTGTTAGAGAGGTGATGTCATAAAGGATACAATCTCTTGTCCTAAATTTTCATATCTCACTCGTAAGTTGTATCCATCAATCAGGTAAATACACATCATCAGAAAAGAGAATAAAAACATCAATTAAACAAATGCCTAGTTTTTTTGTTCGAAATTGGGGAGAGAGAGAGAATGGAGTTCTTCACAAAATTTGAGACAAGGAATAATAAAACTAAAAACTAAAGTAAATTACATTTTTATATATTAGAAGAGTACTTGTACAATGCAATTAGTTCATTTATTTTATTATAATTTAATAACGAAGTAATTTATTTTTAATTTAATAATATAATTTTCTATAAAAATAATTAAGTATTTTGTTAAATCCCAATGATTATTCTAATCATATTTTAGATCTTTTATATTTTAGATAATATGTTTACCATGTATTTGATCTCGGTTATTTACAGTTAGTTACACGAATTCAAAAATAGAGCTTAATAAGTTATACTTACGCCTAATTTACTTATATTATTAAATTTTAAGTAACATGCATCAATAAACAATATTTCATGTGTAAAAAATAATTTTTAAGAGTTTTTATCAAATGTTTTATAATATAGTACAAATAAATACAAAATATTAAATTATAATAAATATTTGAATTAAACAAAATTATACAATGAAAAACGGAAATTTTATAATCTTAACTTAAACCCATATTGATATATTATTTTCGACGATCTTTAAATCAGCAAGACATGTTCAACCACTATTGGTAAATTCTATTTTGTTCGGACCTAAATTTCAGATTTTCCTTATTAAAGAGAAGTTGCATTAATTTTTCATTCTCGGTTTACAATATAATTTTACGTCCAGCTAACGGAAGTTTGGATTGATAGTAGTGCCTTACGGTGGTAGAGTGCGTGAAATCTTTCTAACTCGGAATTTGCATAACCGGATGCAGAAGGATATCAGTCGTAGAATCGAAACCGAACCCTCGGAAGGAGTAGGTCAGAAAATGTTGCATTTCCCACATACTTTAATCATTTTGGAACAAATCTGCTGCACTTTTGCGAGATCGAAACTGATCACGAACCTTGTAATTTCCTCGATCACGATCTTGAGCTTCATCTTCGTTTCTCTTCATGAAATGAAACCCCATAAGATACCTGTATTCTCCCGTCCCGAGACAACGTGAGCAGTAGGCAAGGCCACTACCACCACAAGTCTTGCACCTGCGTAATTCGTTAAAGAGACGGTTATTTAGGAGAATAACCATCTGATATATTTCTTTATACATGCGTGACAAACTGATATTATTTTTAAATGCACAACTTTCTGACAGATTTATGAACGCTTTTGTTAAAACATAATCATGTCTTTTCACAACACAAGAATGCCTCTGAGAAAGTAATGTATTTAAAAAAAAATATGTCAGAAGGTTATTCTTCTAAATAACCCTAAAAAAGACGGGAGGGGGTGTATCACTACTGATTTTGTTACTCTTGATGTACAAACGCTCGAAGTTAGGGAATACTTCACCATTTTGGCCACTCCCCATTCGGGAGCATCGTTAACTCGACATTATTCCTCCTTCCTGCAAAGGAAAGAAGAAACATATATCATAGTCAACACTACATGTCGTTTCTGCCAAATGGTAATGTTGACACGCATACGTTGGTGTTCATCGATTGAAATCCGATGGATTTCGGAGGAACTGACTCAACCCAATCATCCACTCGATGTTGGATTTTTACAACCATTCCATACAATTAACTTTGGACAACCGACCAATCCAATCTAATCAAAGGGATGATTGGATCGAATAGGTTCCATCCATAGGATATTATTATTGGTCGTCCATTTGATTGGATTAGATCCATCCAATATTTTGATCTAATTATCCAACTAATTAATCTATAATTTCAACCTATTATTCATATATTTTCCAAATCTCCTTAAAGACGCTACATACAAATATCAAATAGAAACAAATAGATATCCATACAAACAACTAAATTTATAATATTAGAAAAAATATTGTAAACTATTATTAATTCTATATATTTATTAGTTGGATGTTAGTTACATGGCAATTGAATTGGATCATTATGATTTTTGGATCATGGATTGTGATCCAAGAACCGACAGATCCAATTTGAATGGGTGAATTTTGGATCCAATCCAATTACAATTGCATCCAACTTTGGTCCGTCGATTCCAAATTGTAATTGGATCGGACGACTTTCTGCACACTCCTAGTTGGTCGATTGACATCATAAATTTTGTGTTCCATAATGTGCTTTCTAGACCCAAAGCTGGAAACTTGACTTATTTGGACTCGAATGTAAAACTGGAGATAACCCCTAACTCGACTTGTGGTTTAAAAGGTTGTGTTTGGAGTAATAAGGGAGAGGAAAAGAGCGAACCTTTTCCACAACAATCATAACAATCAACTCTGCCACTGCCTCTGCATACGACACATGAAGGATCTGGTTTTCGTCTTTTCTCTAATCTAACGTTAGACTGCAAGAGAAGAGCGATTTTGAGATCAAGTATTCTTCAAAAACACCCACATAACATAAGCATATCATAACAAAAACACTAAAGGCAAGTTTGGTATGCAGACCGGAATGGGACCAAACAGGACGAGCAAGATTGATGTAGGCAGATGAAATAATCGTGGGAAGTTTTAGGATTTTAACTTGACATAGGTAATTTAGTAAACTACCCGTTTTGTCTCATCTTCCACATTTTTGTTCCACTTACTTTGGTGGGACAGAAAAGATGCATTTTTGTCCCGTTCTGTCCCAGTTCTAGATGTTGCACCAAACATGCGATAACAAATTTTTGTTCAATCCTATTCTGCCCTGTCCCGTTCGTATGCTTTTGACGTATATAAAAGCAATCAAGTGTTCAAATGAGCATGGGAAGTCTGATTCCAGCCTCGAAATGGAACCGAACAGAAATAAGTTCAAATTTTTAAGCAGGTGGGCTACAATATCAATGACAAATTTGATTCTATGCCACCAGAAACCTCAGATTATGCTTGATAATTGTAATTTTATGTTCAAAAACTCCAAAGTATCTTCATTATACATTTGTTAGATAGGCTAATCTTCTTTTGATTTGAATCAATACAACTTTTATCAATTTTACCTAGAAAAGAAACCCTTCACATGAAAAAAATGACACTTCACTTCCCTTTCTTAAATGTCTACAAAGTCTATTATATTTCTATTTTTTGGGAAGTTTTTAAGTTAAAGTCAATACTACTGGCATCATCCCAATATTTTCTTATAAAAAGCCAAACAAAACAAACCTAATATATTTCACCCAGATACAGTGTCTATGGTCGGGGGTTGGATCTCCTCGAAGGATAAAGCAGCCATTCCGTCAAGACCCCGGCTTGTCCATGATCTTCATATATTTTAATTATGCAAAGATTTTTGACAATTGACAAAAGTATTATGCCCACTTAAAAGTTCCAATTTTTGTATGGATGGTCTTTGCCTTTGGAGCAACTAACCAACACTCTTAAAAAGGATGGTTGGTGGTACGGGACCAGACAAGAGTGAGGTAGGCGGGTGAAACAATTGCAGATGGTTTTAGGGTTTAAATTTTGGCATGGATAGTTTAGTAATCTACCAATCTTGTCTCAATTCGTTTTTGTTTTGTTCCACCAATTTGAGTGGGGACAGAAAAAATGCAATTTTGTACGTTCAGGACTACTGTCTTGTCCAAAGGCAAGACAAGTTTTTGTATTGTCAACATGATCTAAATTGATTATTAGGATTGAAATCTGCAATAATAGGTTTTGGTATTTTGGGTAACCTAATTATGTTTATGTTATCAAGATAAAAAGTAAAATTGCATCACTAATCTTGGCTTTTAATCATCTATTATCTCATTCTGATTCTGATTCTGATTCTGATTCTGATTCTAATTCTAATTCGTTTTGAGAAAACACATCCAAACACCCTGTTAAATGTCTAATAATCAAACATCCAGCTTGCCCTATTCGCACAATTCAAAAACAATTGGAGAAATGATTCAAAATCGCCAACAATTTCCCCAAATCCAAATACATTCTGTGGTTTTAATTAACAAAGTATAAACAATTGGAACTAATTTTCAGTTTAAATTTCAACGGTAAGCAAACAAGCTGTATCGAATCAATTAAGACGGTGTTACCTCTGTTCTAACAATCCAAGATGGCTTGGGGACTGAAAGCAGAGGCGTTAGAGGTGGAGGCGGTGATGGCGTTGGTCGGTTGTGACTTTCCGGAGGTGGTGCACCATTGGTGGCCTCGAATCTTACGACCGTCGGCCTGAAGAGATTCGATACTGCTCCGGTGGAGGTTATCATTTTTCACCCACTTTTGACTCGAATTGTTGTAACCGGAAGCCTTTGTTTTTATCATCATACAATTTGTCACCGAAAATTAATTAAAAAAACTATTTTGACCCTTTTTTACTTAGCAATTTTTTTTTTTAATTTTATTAAATAACTCATGAAGTAAGTTGTTTTTTTTTTTTTGTGAAAACTAAAATGGTATTCGAAATACATCTTGATTTTAATATTTTATTTTATTATTTATCATAATCGATGTTATAGTATGGTTTTATGTGATTTTAGAAAAATGATAATGTTTTTATTTTTGAATAAAACATAAATTGAAGATATCATACAAATTTGATAAAAATATATTGATATTAATATTAAATTAACTATTTAAAATTCATATTTTTTGTGTAATTTTTTAATTCAATTTTTTATTATAATTTAATTTA